CAGGTGGCTCTCAGAAATGTATGATGGCACACACCACTCTAGGGTGGCCTTGCAAAGCTAACAGCTGTCTGCTCAGTGCTGTTAGTCTGGTAAAGGCTTCGTGCCAAGAGAGCCTTTTTGTTGTTTGTTTGTGAGGCAGGGTATTGCTGTGTAGTCCAGCCTAACCTTGAACTTGTCAAGACTAAGATTCACCCTCCCCATAATGGGATTTCAGATGTCTCACCACACCCAGCCTAGCTTCCATCTTCTAAACCTACACATCACTTCATCGCTTACAGTGAGCCTACTGCGCAGAATTATAAGCACTTTACCCCACTTGTGTGTTGTTTGTAGCTCTTCCACACTGAGCTGCACCCTAGCCCTACTGTCTCTCTCTGTCCTGTCGTGTCCCCCAACCCCGACCCCAGCCCGTCCGCCTCCAGGTTTCTCCCTATAGCCCGGGCTGTCCTGGAACTCTAGCTCTGTAAACCAGGCTGGCCTCAAACTCAGAGATCCGCGTGCCTCTGCCTCCTGAGTGCTGGGATTAAAGGTGTGTGCCACCACACCACCGCCTGGCAAGGTAACAATCTTTTAACTCTAAGAGGTAACAGTGGTCTGAAGCCTTAGATCCTCCTCTTCCATTAGGAAGAGATGACAAAGCAAGCCAGGGCTAAAGATGGGGGTGGGCGCGAACTGTTCATCCCAGCTACTCCAGAGGCTGAGGCAGGAGGGTTCCAAGTTCAAAGCCACTATGTCTTTAAAGCATAAAATGAAAACAGGTAGTGTTGCTCGGTGGTTGAGCTCTTTCCTCGCACATCCAGACCTGGTTCCATAGCCGGTACCAAGTAGGAAAAGTGAGAGGCACTATGACCATAAATACTGATGGGTTCAATCAAAGCACTGAAAATTCAACCTGAAACCTCTGGCTCCCTTAAACAATGTTGAACCAGGCGTAGGGGTAGCGGAAGGCCTGTAATAAAGTGAGCTTGACTCAGGAAGCTGAAGAAAGGGGATCGCAGGGAGTTCGGGGCTTGCCTGACCGAAAGAGACTGTAAAGACACAGAACGACTGACAGTGTGAACAACAGACCACGAAAGATTCGGCCCGGCCTGACTGTAAAGGGACTGTCTGTAAGATGCACCGAGGCTCATCGCCCAGCCCCGGCCGCACCTCACAGCATCGCGGCCTCCATGCCACCGCACCCCGGCCCCGCGACCCTGCCGCCCCCGCGGTCCCCCTCGGCCCAGAGCCTCACCCTGCAGGTTCTCCTCCCCGCTCTGCGACATGGTGGCTCGGCAAAAGAGCCCGAGCCCAACTGCGGCAGGGCAGGCCTCAGCGGCGGTCACCGAGAGCTACGAGGGCCACCCGCAGCCTGCTCAGCTCTGAGGCCAGGCGACGCGGGGCTGAGGGACAGGGGGCGGGGCGGGGCGGGACGCACGCGGCGGCGGCGCCCATTGGCTGGGGGGCGGGGCTTGCAGGTGGAGGAGGAACGCGGGGCGCGTGCGGCACGTGCGGCGCGTGCGCAGGGCGGGGCCTGGGTGGGCAAGGGGCGGGGCCTGGGGCCGGAGTGCGCTGGAGGGCGGCTGTTTTCTTAAGCTCCGGAACCGAGGGGGCTGGGGGCGGGGCCTGAGGCTCGAGCAATTGGGACGAGGACGTGCGCGGGTAGGGGAGAGGCTTGGGGCGAGGCCTGATGCCGGAGCGTTGGGACTCCGAGGTGCGTGCCTTGCAGAGGCGCTAGGGGAGGGGCCTGAAGCCGGACTAAAGTGGGCGTGGCATGGGCGGGCCCTGAGGTGGGCGTGGCGTGGAGAACCAACCGCCAGGCTTTGGGGCGGCTGGCGTAGGTGTGGAGCCTACCACTGCTGCCCGCGGTTGACCCACTCTGTGCCCCTCCCTAGCTCCCGAACCTGCGGGCGCCAGCGACGGGAGCACACGGTGGTCTTGCTGTCTCTGTGCACGCTTACAGATACTATTTCTTTTAAGAAACCACCCCCAATCCTGGAGTGGTTGTGTATGCCTGTAGTCGAAGCCCTGGTTCGAGGCCAGGCTGGGCTGCACAGTGGGAAGCTGTCTAAAATAAAGCAAAGAACAAAAAACAAAAACCATTGCCAGCATTCTGCTGCAGCGACGATGGCGAGTTGTGGAGTGCCATGGCAAGCTGCAGTCTGCAGGCGGGGAAGAACAGAGCATTTTTGGACGGGAACAGAATTGGAGAGACCGTTGGAGGGACAGTGTTGAGAAGGATTCTGCACTATCCCTGTACCCTATCCAGTCAATCCTCTGTTCTTGGAGGTTGGAATTCCCTCTCGATACAGTTCTGGGATAGAGAAGGGAAGTGTGAATCTTAAAAGAAGCTGTGTTAGCAGCAGTGGGTGGGGCCACAAGAAGCAACTTCTTCGCTGGTTTTTCTTTTCCAGACAGGGTGTCATGATGGAGGCTGGTCTTGAAATGTCTGTGTATCAAAAGCTAGCCTTGAATTCCTGCTTCCACCTCCCAGTTCTGGGATTACAGCTGTGCAGCTCTGACTTCTTGTTTGTTTTGTTTGGAGTGCTGAGATTATACCCAGGGTCTAGCACATGCTAGGCAATACACTGCCCTGAGCTCTGTCACCAGACCTTGTTGGATGTGTTTTCAGACAGATTTGTAACAGATTGGGGTTACAGACAGCTCCACCACTCTCAACCGAAAATTTTCTTTCTTACAGTGCTGGAGATCCAGCCTAGGGCCTTCCAGCTGCTAAACACATTCTCCACTACTGAGCTCCAGCACCAAACCGCTTTGTCTCAACCTTGGAAGTGCTGGGATTACAGGCATACCTCCACAACATGCAAGAAAGAAACAAGAGCCGTGGTGCTGCTTGGCTATAGACTCACCATGTCTTGCAAGCCCAAGGCCCTGGGTTCAATCCCCAGTTGCATAGTTATGTGTACCTGAATAACAAAGGGAAAAAGAAAATGACCTGGAAATTCTCTACACAGTATACTAAAAAAAGAAAATAGAAAAAACGTGGATTAGAAGTGTTTAGGAATGTTATAAGTAGACATGTTTATTATTTTTTATGAATTAGGTATATTTAATAAATAAGGCTCAAACTTTCCTAAGGTCTGTTCTAGGTAGCAGAAACTCTCTTGAAGATATTATGTCTAGCCTCTTTGTCTTTCCCAACTTTGGGTTTTGTTTTTTTTAATAACTTATTTTTTTAATTATAATGATTATTAATAACATTTGTGGTGGATCTCTGTGAATTAGAGGCCAACCTGGTCTACATAGTAAGTTCCAGGCCAACCAAGTTACTTGGTGAATCCCTGTCAAAAGAAAAGAAAAGAAACCTATCTGGGAAAACTTTACAGTTCCTGAGTGAAATTCCCAACTTACCCCTTAGTTAGGGTTTCTATTGCTGTGAAGAGACACCATGGCCATGGCAACTCTTAGAAAGGAAACACATTTAATTGAGGTGGCTTACATTTTCAGAGGTTTAGTCCATTATGAACAGGGTTCAACAAGGTAGTGTGCGGGCAGACATGGTGCTGCAGAAGTAGCTGAAAGTACTTAGATCTTGACTTGCAGGTAACAGGAAGTGATCTGAGACAGTGAGCATGGCTTGAGCCTATATGAGACCTCAAAGCCCACCTCCACAATGACACATTTCCTCCAACAAGACCACACCTACTCCAACAAGGCCACATCTCCTAACAGTGGCACTCCCTTGGGGGCAACATTCTTTCAAACCACTACATACCCCATACCCATTGAAAGTCTCAGTGAATCCTTCCCTCAGCTGCCACAATACCCCAGACACACTCACCTCCATTCATGACTAAACAAATAGTGCCAGTAGTGTAGCTCAGAAATCTGGGACATTTATTAACAACTTCTAGCCAGCTGTGGTGTACTTATAATCCCAGCACTTGGGATGTTGGCCAGAAAGAGTTCCAGGCTGAGCTTTACCAATATAGTGAGTTTGAGGCTAGCCTGGTCTACATGAGATGCTGTCACGATAAATAGGTAGATAAATAAATAAATAACATAAATGAAACAAGGGCCTTGGAGATGGTTCAACAGGTAAAGGACCTTGCCATTGAGTCTGACAACCTGAGTTCAATCCCCAGAATTCACATGGTAGAAGGAAAAATCTCACGCCCATAAGTTATCCTCTGACCTTCACTTATACCAAGAGCATGCACATGCACATGTTAATAAATAATAAATGCAAAAATATTTTTAAATTAAAAACCTCAGAAAATGTTAAGTTCTTTATTTTATTCATTTATTGAGATAGGATTGTCAGGCAGGTGGATCTCTGTGAGTTCAAGGCCAGCATGGTCTACAAAGTGAGTTCCAGGACAGCCAGGGCTACACAGAGAAACTCTGTCTCAAAAAAAAAAAACAAAAGCCAAAAACAATAAAAGGAAAAGAAAGAGAGAGAGATGGATCTCACTGTGTAGCCCTGGGTGTCCTGGAACTCACTATGTTAACAAGAATAGATCCACCTGCCTCTACCTCCACCTCCTTAGTGCTGAGATTAAAAAGCATGGTTACCCACACTGGGCTAGTAATTTATTCTTTAAAGAAATTATAGTTGACTGTATGTCGCAATTCACACCTATAATTTTCACATTCTAGCGGCCAAGACAAGATCATAAATTCATTAAAATGTATTTATTTACGAAAGTGTGGGAATGCTCATGCCGTGCTCGTTTATTGAGGTCAGAGGACAACTTAAAAGAGTTGGTTCTTTCCTTCCACACCGTGAGTCCCTGCTGACAGGCACTCTTACCAGATGAGTCATCTGGACAGCCTGAGCCATGTAGTAAGATCACGTATAGGACAGTGTCTTTATTAGGGTTTTCTATTACTGTGAAAAGACACCATGACAGCAACTCTTTTTTTTTTTCTTGGTTTTTCGAACAGGGTTTCTCTGTGTAGCTTTGCGCCTCTCCTGGAACTCACTTGGTAGCCCAGGCTGGCCTCGAACTCACAGAGATCCACCTGCCTCTGCCTCCCGAGTGCTGGGATTAAAGGCGTGCGCCACCACCGCCTGGCGACAGCAACTCTTATAAGGAAAACATTTAATTGAGGGGACTGGCTTACACTTTCAGAGGTTCAGTCTGTTATCATCATGGCAAGGAGCATTGCAGCACGCATGGAGGAATAACTCGGAGTTGTACATCCTGTGGGCAAGAGGAAGTTGTCTGAGACACTGGGTGGTATCCTGTGCATAGGAAACCTCAAAACCCACTTCCACAGTGACACACTTCCTCCAGCAAGGCCATATCCACTCCAACAAGGCCACATCTTCTAGTGGTGGCCCACACGTGTAATTGAAGTCTGTGAGAGGTAGCGGCAGGAAGATCTTCTGTTCAAAGTAAAATCTGAGTTACAAGAGACTGTCTGGGGGGGAAAAAAGAAAGAAGACTAGGGATATAGCTAAGTGTAGATTTCTTCCCTAGCACGTATGAGGTCCTGGGCTCAATCTCTAACACTGACAAAAAGAAAAAGAACAGAGTGACAACCGCCCAGAAACAAGGATCAAATTATCCTAAATGACTTTCTACCACAAAGAAAAACATTTATTTATTTATTTATTTAATGTTTTTGAGACAAGGTCTCTTTATGAAGCCAAGGCTGGACTCCAGCTCATGGATGGCAATATTCCTGTCTCAGCCTCCATGACACTGGGATTACAACATGGCTCTTCCACACCCACTTAAGGTTATAGAAACTTTGACAGTCACCAAACAGAAAGCCAAGAATCAATGTGTTGACAGAATGCATAGGTGAGGGACAGGAGGTGAGGGTGGGGAGATCAGAGGATGGTGGGAACATCTGGGTTTAGACGCCATCAGTGTCAAGTTCTGAGCCTGAGGGCAGGGAGGCTAGGCAGGCAAGGTGAGCTATACATTCCAAGAGTGTTAACCTTAGCTAAGAGGATGTTAGGGCAGATCCTGGGGTGGATAGTGAATACCTTCTAAAGGGAGCTAACGATAGCCCGAGACCATTTGGGCTCTTGACTTACAGCTTTCCATCTCCAAAGTCAACATGCTCTCAGCCAAGGTCAGCCATTGCCAGGATCTTGAACGTAGGTTCTGCTTCTCCGGGACCTCAGTTCACAAAGCATTATCCTAAAGGAATACACATGTGAAAATAGCAGTTGGAGGGCTGGAGAAGAGGGCTCAGAGGTGAAAAGCACTGGCTGCTCTTACAGAGAACTCAGGTTCAATTCCCAGAACCGCATAGAGCAGGGGTTCTCAACCTTCCTAATGGGCCGACCCTTTCATACAGTTCTTCATGTTGTGGTGACCCCCAAACCATATAGAATTATTTTCGTTGCTACTTCATAACTGTAATTTTGCTACTGTTATGAATCGTAATGTAAACGTGTGGTATGTAAGATATCTGATATTTGCCAGGCGGAGGTAGCACATGCCTTTAATCCCAGCACTCGTAGGCAGAGGCAAGCGGATTTCTGTGAGTTCAAGGCCAGCCTGGACTACAGAGTGAGTTCCAGAAAAGGTGCAAAGCTACACAGAGAAACCCTGTCTCAGAAAAAAAAAAAAAAAAAGGTATCTGATATTCAACCCCTGTGAAAGGGTCATTCAAACTCCCAAATGGGTGGAGACCCACAGGTTTGAACTGCTAACATAGAGGCTCATCACAATAACTCCAGTTTAAGGGGATCCCACACCCTCTTCTTGCCTCCTTGGGCACCGGGCAAGCAAATGGTATACAGACATACATGAAGGCAAAACCAAACTCAGTAAGTTAAAAACAAGGGACTTTGTTAAAAACAGGGGGGCGGGGGTAGTATAGTTGTCAGGGCCAGGATGGAATGTGGAGGTCAGAAGACAACTTGGTGAACTCTGTTCTCTCCTTCCACTGTGCATAGGTTCTAGGCAATCAAACTCAAGCCAGGCATTTTTTTTTTTTTTTTTTTTTTTACCAGCTGGTCCATCTCACTGGCCCCTGCGGACCTTTTTGTTTTCTCTACCTTATTCATAACAGTAGCAAAGTAAGTATAAGAAGTAACTGACATGATCAGCTTTATTTCTTCTGTATCCTTCCAATCCATTTTAAAATCAACTCCTCTGCCCAGCTCCCTGGCACACTTATTCTATGTTATCATGAAGTGTTGCCTGACTCAGGACCAAAAATAGCAATGCCAATTAAGATCTTTAAACTAACTTGGTGTGTGTGTGTGTGTGTGTCAGGGGGAGCATGCCTTTAATCCCATCACTGAGGAGGCAGAGGCAGGTGGATCTCTGTAAGTTCATGGCCAGCCTGGTCTATAGAGCTAGTTCCAGAACAGCCAAGGCTATACAGAAAAACCCTGTCTTGAAAAACAACAACAACAAATGAAAATTTAATAGGAAGATTAAGGTGGTTGTAAGGTTATCTGTCATAGGGTAGTCTTATCTAGGCCCTTAATATTCCCATTATATGCCCTTCAGTAACTCCACACACATCAATGAGGGGCCACTAAGCTGTCCCTCTTTATGGAAGCTCTGCCTATAACCAAGGCAAGCATATCTTTTTTGTTTGATGTTTGAGACTGTTTTATTTTGCTTTGAGATAGGGTCTCATGTAGCCCAGACTGACCTCAAGTTCACTATGATTTTGAGCTGCCGATCAGATTACAGTCCTGCACCACAACACCTGGCCTTGAGGTGAGCTGTTTTCCTTTACGTGGAGAGTCTACAGTCTGAACCAGAGCAAGCAACTGGGATGCAGACTACATCAGGGTGGAAGCTAAATGGTGACTCTCCACGCTCACATGTGGGGTGTGCCATCCTTTCCACAGTCTCCTCTTCTCACTCTCCCTTTATGCTCACACTTAAATTTATACTGAAGCTTGTTTCTACTCTGGGCACAGGAAGTAGAAAGAGAGTGATGCCTTAATTTTGGTTCTGTTGCTGGATAAAATAGGCTGATAAAAAGCAGCTTTGGAAGAAAGGATTTATTTTAGATCACAATCCCAGGTTATGGTCTACCACTGCCAGGAAGTCCAAGCAGGGGCCGTGCTTCTGTCACACCATAGCCACAGTCATGAGTAAAGAATGTGTGCACCTAACACTCTGCTTGCTTCCTCTATGCTTGTAAGGTCTAAGGCTCCAAACCTAGAAATTGTGCTTTGCACCTTTAGGTCAGGTCTTCCCGTAGCAGCTAAGGCAATCAAGATAATCCCTCCGAGGTATTCCACACAGGCCAAGCCCATCTAGAAAATTGCTCATTGAGATTCTGGTCTCAGGTAATTCTAGGGTGTGTCAAGTTGACAATTAAAATTAACCATTGGGGCTGGAGAGATGACTCAGGGGTTAAGAAGACTGGGTGCTCTTCCAGGACCAGGGTTTAATCCCCAGTACCCACATGGTAGCTCACAACCATCTGTAACTCCAGTTCCAGATTGATGCCCTCTTCTGGCCTCCATAAGCAATACACATTTGTGGTCTGCATTCATACACACAGGCAAAGCACCCTTACACACATAAAATAAAAATAAATCTTTTTAAGAGAAGGGCCTTGGAGAAATGGCTCAGCAGTTTGGAGCACTTGCTGCTGAACCCCAGTTTTGATTCCCAGTGGCACATCCACCTGCAATTCTAATCCAAGGGGATCTCACATTCTCTTCTGGCTCCCAGTGGTACCTACACACACCTGGCAGACTCTTACACAGACATACACAAAGATAAATAATTTAAACATAAATAAAAAATAGAACTAACCATCACAGAAGACCTCTCTGGCAAACAGTACAGTTTTCCTGAGCACAGAGCCAGAATAAAATTGAGGGTTTGGATGGCCACACTGGCCACGGCATAATAATTACCATAGTGACAGCCCAAAGCAAAAAGAAGATATGGTGCATGAGCCAAAGGTGGCAGAAGTGACAGACGTGACTCTCGCCCAGCTGGGAGAAGTCACAGGGCACTGGGAGAAAGGGATTATAACAAGGGTTTGTTTCTCCATAGTACAGAATCAGAAGTGGGTAACTGAAATGAATCCTGCCCTGCTGGCTGTTTCCAAGAGATGTGCCTCTGACGTGGGAGATAGGAAGGGTAGCTTAACGCCAAGGAGCCTTCTGGGAGTCTTCCACCTTTCTGGCAGGACTCTCCTGCATCAAGCCGTACTGACCACTTTGTTCTGGCTCCTTCCCTCCGCCAGGAAAACACCCACTTTTCCAGGAATTCACAGTGGCACCTATGCCACACAAAGTTATTTTTAGAAGCTGGCATGATGAAATATTCAGAATTGTAAACAACATGCACACACTTTAGGTCCCAGGTTTGTACTTGTGCAGCGTCCCAGGTGGCTCCCAAGTGAGATCCCTGGGGAAGGAAAGGGTGTTCTTTGAGAAAAGCCTGGACTGTACTTGCCAGAGAATGTTCAGAACAGGAAGCAGCTCAGGCTCTGAAAGCCAGACACAGCCATACCCAGGCTGAACAGTATCCCCGGGGACCTATCAGGGAGTGCTAGGCTGCTGCGGCCGCTGCTGTTTATTTGTCCTTGCTTGGTGAGGCAATAACTTCAGGCGTGCTGCACCGAGATTGCAGAAGTGGAGTAACTAGTCAGATGGCCTGAGACCAACATGTTGACGACTGTCTCAGGACGAAACGTGCCCAACCGCATATCTGTCATGCGGCTCAAGGCACACATCCATCTCTGTAGGGCCACACGGTGGCCATGGAGTGAGGAAATGGGAGGCGACTATCTTAAGGAAGAAAGGGTTTTTATAGGGAAGGAAGGGAGGTGCCAGGGGGCTGTGAGCAGGAAAATGGCACTAGGCAGTTTCCAGACCCCCTCTCCCCCCTGTGTGTCTCTTTTTTTCTCTCTGCCCAAAACATTTCAGTTGACCTTGATCTTTTGGGACAAATTCCTAGCATTCTTTTTCACACTTGTTTATTTGCTTGGTTGGATTTTTGTTTGTTTGTGACAGTATTAATAAGTAACCCAGTTGGCCTCGAACTAGCAGTCAATCCTCTTGCTTCATCTTCCAGAATGCCAAGATCCCACCACACCAGGTACAGTAATCACTTGCCTTTATTTGTTTGTTTTTAATAAGGCAGGGTCTCTTGTATCTCAAGCTGGCCTGAAACTCACAATATAGTGGAGGGTGCTCATGAACTGAACCTCTTACCTCTACCCCTCTATTCCTGAGTACTGGGATTAGAGGTGTGGTGCTAAGGATCAAATCTAGGGCTTTGTGGATACTTGGCTTCCAGCATACTACCAAATTCCTAGCCCAATCCTCTGCTTATTTTACAAAAACAAGCCTTTTGCCAGGCAGTGGTGGCACATGCCTTTAATTCCAGCAGGCAGAAGCAGACGGATCTCTGTGAGTTCAAGGCCAGCCTGGTCTACAAAGCAAGTTCCAGGAAAGGCACAAAGCTACACAGAGAAACCCTGTCTCGACAAACCAAAAAAAAAAAAAAAAGCCTTTTCAGCTTCACAGAAAAACCGAGCATCAAGTACAGAGATTTCCCAAATGCCCGTGACAACCCGACCCCTACACGCACAGGCTTCCTCTAGCAGGATCCTCACCAGGGTGGTGTCTCTGTTAAACCAAAACCCTACAGAATCACCGTTGCCACCCATTGCCTCCAGCTCATACTGTTTTGGGTGCATGTTCTGGATCTGACAAGTGCAGAATGGCATGGGTTACCATTTAAGTCCCCACCCTCTGCCTCAGCATCCCATCCCCTGGCAGCCCCCACATTTTTTTTCCTGTCTCCACAGACTTGTCTTCTCCAGAATACCATGGGTTGGAGCCTACAACATAGCATTTTCAGACTGGATTCTCTCCGTAATGTATTGTTTGTTTGTTTTACAAAAAGGGTCTCACTATGTAGTCCTTCCTGGCTTGGAGCTCACTAGGTAGACCAGGTTGGCCTTGAACTTTTAAAGATTGGACTGCTTCTGCTTCCTCAGTGCTAGGATTGAAGGTGTATGCCACCATGCCAAGCCCAGAAATGTGTTTTTTTTTAAGTTTTTTTTTTAAATGTGTATAGGTGTTTTGGCTGCATGTATGTCTATCTGTGCCCCATATGTATTCAGTACCTGAGAAAGCAGAAGAAGGCATCAGATCTGGAATTGAAATTACAGACAATTATGAGCCACCAGGTGGGTGCTGGGAATTGAACTCCGGTCCTCTCCAGCTCTACTGAAGTTGTTCTTAAGGGTCCTCTATGCCTTTTCCTGGCTCAGTAGCTCATTTTTGAAAACCCTTCCATTGTCTGGACGGAACATAGTACTTACTCCTTCACCTACTGAAGGATACCTCCATGCTCCCCAGCTTTGGCTGTTACCACCACCACAGCCTCCATGAACACCAATGTGCAGGCTTCTGTGAGGATGCAGTCTCAGCTCTTCCACATCTGTCCTGCTCTATTAACACCCAGTCTGGCCCCATTCTCCTGACAGGACGCGCCTTGCTCCAGACACAGAGTAAGCATTTCCTCCTGACTCCTTGGCATCATTCCCTTGTTAGCTCCATTTCTGGGCATGTGCTATCTTAAGAGGATGCAGTCTTCACAGGACAGACTTTTTCAAATCTCAGGCCAGAAAACTTAAAAACACAGGGACTGGTTTCTGATGGTTATGTATCGCAAAAGGTTTTTGTTGTTGTTTCTCTGTGTAGCTCTTACTGTCCAGGAACTTGATCTGTAGACCAGGCTGGCCTAGAACGCAGAGATACACCTGCCTCTGCCTCCCAAGTGCTGGGATTAAAGGTGTGCGACACTATGTCACTTTGTTTTTTGTTTTTTTGTTTTTCTTCTTCTTCTTCTTCTTCTTCTTCTTCTTCTTCTTCTTCTTCTTCTTCTTCTTCTTCTTCTTCTTCTTCTTCTTCTTCTTCTTCT